TGAATACTAGACAAAAATATAACTTCCACCTACCCTCATCAACTTTATCAGTATATCAAAAAGGAGTCTACTTTACTGGCATAAAAGTGTTCAACAATCTGCCACAAAGTATTAAAAACTTGGGCAATGATACTAAAAAGTTTAAATCAGAGTTAAAGAATTATCTACATGCTCATTCCTTCTACTCTTTAGATGAATACTTCAATGTAAATAGAGAATGATGTAAAATTAAGTTATATTAATTTTTAAGCTAAAATTGCCTGTACTTATGTATGTAACATTTTGACTTGTTCTGTATCCAAAGGTACTAACCTGCTTAGGATTTATAGAATGTAAATAAATTCAATTCAGTAAGCTTCCAGAGTAACATGATATGACACTCACTACACTGACCCCTGAATACAGAGAAAGATATATTCTCTAGAATGCCGAATACTAACTTCACATTGACATGGAAAATCACCTGAGAAGATTCCGTTGTGAATTACTTTTTTCAGAAGTAACAGATTAAAATATGAATATACAGTGTGTCCAAATGGAATAGAAGAGGGTTAACCCTTTCAATCCCACATTTTAGGAGCCAAACAATATAATTTTTTTTCATTATTTCAGGTTTTAGTATTTTTCTTATTACACTCTTGAGCCTGCCAGGGTAAGGTGTTTATTACATTTTTAATTTATACTCTTTAACCAGGCATGAGAATTTGGATGTTCAAAAAATGTATAACATGATTATAAAAGGTTAATTTCATCCAGTGTGATGGAATTAATTAATCTTTTATAATATTGATAGTGTGAGGGACCAGGATGAAACAAATCAAATATATAACATGAGTTTATTCAACAATGGTGTCAAAAAAATACAGAACAAATTGGAAACAAATGTATTCAGAATTATATAGTGGATATGCTTGATGGACATGAATACATTTGGTGGTTCAAATGTCGCTCAGGACACCAGCGATCCTGACTGACGATTTTTGTAGTTTTCTTCAGTAACTACAGGCATGTACAGGGATACTATCTTAATTTGATTCAGAGCCACTTCCTTCCAAATCCTTTGTAAGTCATCATTCATCTGTCATCCTGCCATTCAACACTACAGAGTCTAGCTACTGACAGCATAATAAAATAATCCACAACCCCATGAGTATATAAGGTGTTAGTCCTGAAGGGGTTAAATGCCTGAGCTATGAGGTTTACAAATATCATATGGAAAATAGTGAATATATCTACCTGATCCACTCTCAAACACTGGAGTACACTCATCTTCATCATCTGTATTGCAACCTGAACCTGCTCCTGAAAAGACCAGATCATCTTCCACACCTGGGAAACCAGAAGCTGGTGTCTGAAAATACAGAAATTTATTGGTAGTTTCTAAAGGGTTGTGACAGTGGTGTATAACACTCAGAATTATTGGGCTTTTGGACATTGTCCCTCATCCAGTATTCTAAAAGACATTAAAGAACAGCATTTAGGAAACTGCGTATGCTTCCACCCAGTCCAGGTCCAGTGATTGAGGTTAGCCCTTTCTAACAGGCCTACAGAATAGGTGTTCCCAACCCTTCATCTGAGGACAGAAACAGACCCAGTTGCCAAAACACTGTGTTGTTTAATATTTTTAAGAATATTGGATGATAGACAAATTCCAAAAACCCAGTAATTCTAACAGAAATTTATATATTTTTGAGTGCAAATAATTCATTTCTCAGGAAAATGATATATGTCAAAGAATGTTCATGCAGGACATTCCTTCAACAAAAGAATGAGACTGTGGCAACCCAGGTTCGATCCCAGGTCAGTTCACGTGAGGGCAGGATTTCTCTGAGAACTCTGATTTCCCTGCCAATTCTCATTGCATCAACTGCTCTGTATTCATTAAGCATCCTCTCATCCAATGCCATAAACTCTCAATACCGACAACATCTTTAAATAACCACATGAAAACAGAGTTTTGTATGATTTTAGTCTATTTAGTAAGAAAAGACATACTTAACATATCCTTATATACATGGCTCCATACTGCCCCCCCCCCACAATGTTTGAACAAATGGACAGATTGTATGGACACTTGATATGGTCACCACATCACTACAGAACACCCCACTTTTGCACTTTTGAATTCATATCATCAGCATCATAAACGTAACAACCATGCACATCTGTGATGTGGAAGTGATATTAAGTTAGCTAAACGTATGCTTCTATAGATGAGGTTTGAGGTTCTCACAGAAATGAACATGAAGATTGTCATCTTCTGAGATATGATGCCGTGCAATTTGGCAGAATGTTACCAGTGCTGCAGGGAAACATGTCACCTCCACGTTCAGGGTGAGAAAGAATTTAATTTGAAATTAGAGACAGTAAGTTTATCAAAAATATCCCATCTAATGTAATTTTCTTTTAATTCGCTTAGTGGAGGGTGGAATCCAACTGGGTCCACTCGGCATGGCGGCCACTAATTAGCCTATTGTAGCCTGCCTTGGGTGATTATGATGATGGAGAATTTGGTGGAATGAAAATTGGCAAGAGAAACCAAAGTACTCAGAGAAAACCTGCCCCAGGTCCACTTTGTCCACCATAAATCCCACTTTACCAGATCCGGGATCGAACCTGGGCCGCTGCGCTGGAAAGCCAGCGACTAACTGCTTGAGCTATGGTGCTCCCATCTAATGTAAGTCTGCGGATAGTTTTTTTCTATTCAGGATTTTCAGCCAAGATCATGTATGTACATTTTATTTCTCCCATTAGTATTAAGTGCCCTGCCCATCACCTTCTCCTTACTTTTCATAAAACGGTTTACATAAACTAATAGTTTTCATAAAACAACACTTGTTAACTAACGGCTTAGAAAATTCCTCTATGAGACAGTATTTTTCTTCAATATGAAAACAACTGGATTGAAAATGTCGACAGAATAAAAAGAAATAGACTTCTGACACTATTAAATAATTATGAACCACGTCAATGAGACAAATACCATATTTATTACAAATATTGAAGCCAACCTGTTGCATACGCTGTAGTGGTTCATGCTGTCGATCCCTAATTCCTGTCATAAGCTGAACATCGCCTCTCACTGATGTTCTGCCATCCTTCTCTGAAGCAAGATCCAGTAATCTCAGACCATTAAATACCAGGCCTGCCATGACACCAGAAAAAGGCCTTTCAACACGTTGCTTGGCATGATTCCACTTCCCCCCAATCTGAATTTGAGCTTGACTGTTGAACACTGAGAGCTGGTGGCCTGCAACATTAGAAATAAGGATCTTTGTACCTACATTACATATAATTTCTCATAGACAATTGACACTGACTGTGTTTCCTTTTCAATACAAACTCTTGTTGCTCATTAGACCATTGTTTGTTTCTGAATACTGAACAGCAACAAAATCAATCTGACCAAAAACTGACATTTCACATTTGGGCCTCAGTGTTCATAACATTGTGTTATTGAAGACAACACCAATGCACCTTTATTTAGGAATATAGTTTTTATAATTCCATGATAATTGTAGCTGTTTTTGAGAAAATTAACATTTTGTGTTTTGGAGCCCATTTGAGGAGCACTTACTTTTGGAGCGGGAATGTTCATATTCTTCAGGAAATGATCTATTGTGGACAGACTCAATAATATCAAATATGACTGACACCCATCCAACTTTCTAGTTACTAGCAAGGTGCACCATACATACATATAGATACAGAGACAGACTGTATTAAGAAAGAACTTCATTTCAGGAGGCCAAAAACCTGTAAATTCATCAAAATATCAAGAATCATTTCTTTCACTATCACATTACTTCATCATATATACAGTGAACCCTCACTAATCTGGTTACAGTTAATTTGGATTGAAACATGAAAAAAGAAAAATTCTGTTCACAATTTCTATCCAAATGGCTGTAATACCTGTATGTATGGATTGTTGAATGATAATAAAAATGAAATGAAATAATTTAAGACAGGTGGGATTTAGGGGCGAAAGGGATTAGAGCAGGACTTTCAAACTATGTTGAGGGTTGCTGGAGAGACTGAAACTATACAAGAAAATGTCAAAGATTGGCTTCAGCTGGATGAAGAGGACCCTGGATTTCTGTTTCTGACAGAGGAAGAAATTGCTGCAATGATTTTTTAAATTTATTTTTGGAAGCACTATCTATGTTATTAAATCCCGATTAGCAGGGGTTTACTGCACTGAATGTATGAGAAATTCGCTTAGTGGGGGGAGGAATCCAACTGGGTCCACTCGGCACACAGGCCACTGATTGGCATATTGTAGCCTGCCCTGGGTGATTATGATGATGGAGAATTTGGCGGAATGAAGATTGGCAGGAGAAACCGAAGTACTCAGAGAAAACCCGCCCCAGTGCCACTTTGTCCACCACAAATCCCACTTGACCAGACCTGGGATTGAACTAGGGCTGCCACGGTGGGAAGCCAGTGACTAACCACTTGAACTATAGTGTGGCTGAATATATGAGAAAATAAAAATATTCTCTGCTCATTTCCTTAAAGAAATATGTGGTAATTACACATCTTTTGAGATTAAATTTGGTGGCATTGCAAGTAAAATTAATACAATTCCAAATTTTATATGTGTTGTGAGAAATTTCTACATGGCAATCTGCAAATTTAACCCTTAAAATTCACTCTATCTAAACACCCTAAGACAAGTTAGGTTACAGGTCTTTAAAGAACTTTGATAATAGTATGAAGTCCATTCAAATTTCAAAGAAAATTGTTGTGGTTATCAAAATAATTATCAAATTGGAAGCATAAAAATGACAAAGAATTTCTGTGTACATGAAGCATTTTTGCATGTAAAAATTTTTTGTGTAAGATACTTCATCACACACTTGAAATGTTTGGAGAAATACAGCTGAATTTATGCTAAAGTAATAAACTTGACAGAATACCAATCATGCAACTAACTACTATTTTGGTAAAAATGTGCACTGCAATATGATACTGACTTGAGCATACCATCTTTCTTACTTACTTACTTACTCATGCAGCTGAGCCCTTCTGGAGGAGCTGCCAATTCTGCAGCTACTCAAGAATTTCCCAGTATTTTATGGAACCCAAAGGTTCATTACCGTGTTCACAAGAGTCCTCTTCTGGTCCCTATCCTGAGCCAGATCAATCCAATCCATCCCATCCCATCTCTTCAAGATCCATTTTAATACTGTCCACTCACATATGCCTTAGTCTTCCCAGTGGTTTCTTTCCTTCTGGCTTTCCCAACAATATCCTATACGCATTCCTCGTCTCCCCCGTATGTGCTATATGCCCTGCTCACCTCATCCTCCTTGACTTGATCATTCTAATTATACTTGGAGAAGAGTACAAGTTATGAAACTCCTCATTATGCAGTTTTCTCCTACTTCCTGTCACTTCAGCTCTCTTCGCTCCAAATATTCCCCTCAACACCCTATTCTCAAACACCCTCAGTCTATCTTCTTCCCTTAATGTCAGATACCAAGTTTCACACCCACGGAGAACCACAGGCAAAATTATAGTTTTGTATATTCTAATTTTTATGTTTTTGGACAGCAGATGAGAGGACAAAAGATTCTGGGCTGAATGGTAGCAAGCATTACCCCAGTTCAATCTCCTCTTAATTTCCTCCTGAATCAGGTTTTGATTTGTTATCGTTGTCCCCCAATATCTGAACTGTGTCACATTTTCAAAACATCTACTTCCTATCTTTACGTCATGATTTTGCCCTGCATTTTGGTGACGAGACACCAACATATACTTAGTTTTCTCTGTGAGCATACCCTCAACTGTTGTCAATTGCTGCTATCTTATATCGTTTTCTGTAACTTATTCTAACATTCATAACTACAGAATAACGAGAGCAGTGATATTTCTTTTCCCTCCAGAGGTCAGAAAAGTCTGGGGCTCTTTCTGTTGGAGTAAAGTGATCAAAACATGAAAGTGATCACTCACCTTAGTCAACTGCTGAGATTAAAAATGTCTGGAGCTATACCTCCAATCCTTCATGAGTCTTTATGGTGTGATGCTTATTTACGTAAAACAGGGTTCATGACAAAAAAAACAGGCAACAGCAATATATATGTATGAATAGAAAGAGATGCAATGAGAATGTAAGATTTGTGTGTTCTCCTTAAACCCCTGCTTATCCAGGCAAAATGGGAGTAACCTAAGGAAGTTCTCCCATAGGTCATATTTTACTGTTTCTCTCTGTACACTACAAATATACATAACATGAGAGATCTTACAAACATGAGAACTGAAGTTATTACCTTCAGGGTGATTAGTCTGGACATTGTAATCATCAACCTGAATTGTTGAGTTGGCACCAGAACGTGTAAACCTTACAACATGATATGCATTGTCATTGACTTTTACTCCAATTTCACCAATTGGATGGTCATTTGTGCCCATGTTATATACCATAAAAATATTTCCTTCCACCTAAAACAGAAACAGGAAAATTTAAAGTTACTCATTTGCATTTTGCACATCATCTCAGATCCTTATATAGAAACGATATGTTTTGGAAGTGGTTTACATTTTTGTGTTAAGCAAGGGAGAATGTGAAGGAATTCCTGCTCTGTTAAGACCCTTGGTAGAGGCATTCTTACACCCTGGACCCAGGTGCATTACTGGAGCACATTAAAATGTGTGTATATATATATTGTAACGTGTTTACGTTACTGAATACGCCATAGAGATCGTTAATTGGTTTATTCAACAACCTACAAGTAACGGCTAAAATTAATTCCTACACAGTTGCGGGGTTTCACACTTTATAACCCTAATCGCATTAATCTGTTTACACTGTTGCGGGGTTTCACGATTTATAACCCTATGCGCAAATCAGCTCAGTCTGTCTTCAGTGGTCTACAAGTTTACAGTAGGGGAGCTAGGTATCACTGTATCACACACTCCCAAATTCACAATTACACACACGCCCGGATCTTCTTTCCGCGATGGCTGCTATATTCCAACTTGTAGTCGGCTGACTGGAGAACTGTTGATAACACACTCGGCAACTGTCACAGTACAACTCGACTCGGCGACTGTTACGGTACAACTCGGTGGCTGTCACAGTACAACTGAAGTCGCCGACTGCTACAGTAGAACTGACTGGTGGCTGCTGTGCAGCTCACTTATATAGCTGCAGTGCTTGCCTGTGGCGTGCCACGTCAGAGTAGGAAGTTGATTACGGGTACGTAGCGTTGCACGTTACGTCACCGCGGAGGGGTGGGAGGGAGCGCTACGTTACCGCCACGCGCCTGTGGCCTGAGTTGCCACGTTGCTGCTGGGTAGGGAGGGGTTCTCCGTTGCGCAACATGTTACAATATATAAAACAGATATTAATACAGTATTAATAAAAAGCTAGACAAATAAATTTTGAAATTTTTAAGTCTGTATTAAACTTGTATTAAATCTGCCAAGTCAGGTACGGACTAGACTGGCTTAGGGTATTTTTCGTTCCAAATAACACTACTGAAGAAATCAGCTCATTATTAATCAATTAGTGTGTCATTCATATCAACAGATGGCATTAAGTGTTACATACCACTGATAACAGAAAAGAACAGGCTTCCATTTATTCTATACCTGCTGACATTTCATGGTAATTTGAGGAAGTATTATGGGTTTTTCTGTGCAACTTATTTACCCACAAGTGGCCTCGATGCACAGTTTTATGGCTGTGCTTGGCAGACAAAAAGGGGCGAGAATAATTATCTCGAACTAGTTAGATGCCCTCTTTAAAAACTAATTACATGATCCATTGTAGAGCTTGGTAGAATGCTTCAGACCAGTAGAAACAACTGGGAGAATGACTGACACAGATTAAAAGGAAACTCTTACAGTGCAGACTTATGCCTTTGCTTCTTCATGTGCCAGTGTTGAAAATGAATATCTTGAGACAGAAGAAATAAGTTCCTCAAAATGAAGTGTTCTGGAACTAAACGGATGGGGTCTACCTACTTGTCTTAATTTCCAGCCATGCTGTCAAAGAGTTAACATGTTCATATTCACATGGAAAGTTGACGACTAACACTTGAACCTGGGTATTTGGAGCAAGAGGGAAATTTTTCCACTGAATTTTTGAACACAACTTAAAGTAACAATATTTCAGTACCATACATTGCTGGAACGCTTCTGGTATCCTACTATGAGAGCCACTTATTAACAGTGACACGAATTACAAGAACAGTGGCCAACTTCAGCACCAGGTTATAAGCTTTTAACAATAGGAATTTAGCAAAGAAAGAAAAAAAAAGTACATTCAAAGATTTTAAATGCAGGTATGAATGTGCTGAAATATATTCTTTGCGCTAAATGCTGCCAATAATTATATCCACTTTGTAGACCCTCACTCAACAGTAGTAGACACACTAGGGACATAAAATAATCTTGGTAGCTCATGAAGCACGTTTAACCAGTTGAAGTATGAAGTTCATCTCAGTAATATTTAATCCTTTGGGACAACTTCAAATTTGTACATGTTTATTTAGCATGTCGGCTGTGTCAGCCAGGAATACTCATTTCAGTATTATTCTATTTCTCTTTACTCCAATGCTGAATACATTTATGTTGTATGTTCTTTGAATGTTTCAATTTTTATGTCTCTTCAGAGAATTTATATTAAAGAAATGGTACAAACTGAGGCAATAACAAGAAAAATAGTTAAACCATGAATTTTTCTTTAATATTTGCAATAAATTTGTTCTAGAGCAAATTTCAATTCTTTAAAAATGTTGAACTGAAAGGGTTAAAAAATCATTTCCTATTTCTCAGGAACCATGATGTTTCAATTACAAGTACAAGCTTTTTAATCTTGCTTATGGGTATAATTGCTGTTTATTCTAAGAATCAATAAGACACTCCAAAACTCTCTGTGGGCAAAAAGAAGAGTCTCCAAATGCTGAAGCAGGTGATGCATATAGTTTTAACAGGGCTTTTGAAGGATTAAAGAACTTAGAAACCAGCCAACTGACTCTGTCTATATTGACTTAGTAGAGTTCATGCATACTTATTATATTAGCTAATGTACTCACAATTTCAAGTTCCATATAATCATTTGATGTGCCACTGTCAATTCGAAGTAAAACTGCATCTTCTTTGTTTGTAATGAAACCCAATGCAATAACATCACTTTTCATTTCTGGTCTTCTGTCTTCAGGATAAGTATATGTGATCAGACCTCTTCCTGGACCAAACTCATATGCTGTTGATTCTAAAATGGAAAAAAATATTTGTCATCTCAGTTTGAGGTTTCAACCTTTAAACTACTAAAGACCCCATATGGGGTCGCAAAAATAAAGTCAGCGGTACGAATGACCCCATATGGGGGTCGCACAGTCCGCGCGTGCGAACGTTATATAAAATCCAATTTTAACGTAGAAAATAATGTCCTACTTACGTAATTTTTGGCCACCATCTGCATTAAGTGTCTGTCTTTCCACCTGCGTCATCTACCGGAATGTGGCCTTCGTGTGGTATTCTTGGAAACATCCGGAAATGCACAGTCCGATGTCGCACCTGACGCACTTTGTCCGGACGGTTCTTCGTATCCCACGCGAAGAACACTCACGACATCTCAACTTCGAAGTAGAGGAAGTCGGCCAATGTTGTGTTGTGACCTCCCCTATTCGAGATGGCTCCGATCTAACAGCCGGGGGTCGACCCCTGGGCCGTTGAGGGCGAGGTGGACCCCTTCCAGCGAGCTCCAGCATGTTCCGCACAAGGGCGAGACGAAAATCTCTGTGTGACAATTTCGCGCCACAGGATGACAACAGGATATAACTGTTCAGAATCGTCAGATCCAGGAGATGGAAAAATAGTTTATTTGTCCATTTCCAGGTCCGACGACAGATGCCATAACTGTTTGCCATCCTGTCCGCCTTGTCCACATAACCCATGTGCTTGTTGTAGTCAGCAACAACAGCTGGTTTT